GAATACCGAGGAAATTAAATTTTGAGTGAAATTCCAAAGGGATTTTGAGAAAAATTTCAAGGAAGTACCGATAATGTATAGCTCATTCCGGGAATAGTTTCTGGATAATACTGAGAAAATTCTTCTGAAACTCTAAGGGAATTTCTGTTCCAATGTGTTCTAAGTAAAAGTCAAGAAGAGTTCTATAAATAATTTCAGAGAACTTATGAGAAAAATTTCAACAGAACTCATAGAGTTGTAAATATTTCGAAATGAACCTCATAAAATTGAGTACTTGGCACAGATGAAGTCTGCAAGTAGTAGACAAAATACGCGTATCTGTCAAAAGATAAGCAATTATAACGAAAAGAAGCCAACACAATCAAAGAAAGAAACCAACACACTCAAAGCTCTTGATTTTCTCGGTATTTCTTATGAAATTATCTTGGAATAGTATTTGGAACGATCCGAATAATTCAATATCCTTGAGGTTCTCCTCTGAATATTTTAGAACTTTTTTTTTTCTCAGGCACCTTGGAACTGAAATTCCTCTAAAGTTTCAGAAGAATTTCTTCTGTATTCTTCAGAAATTCAGGTATCCTCCAGAATACCTTTGAAATTTTCCTCAACATCCCTTTGGAATTTTAATCAAATTTGATTCTCTCGGTATTCTTTTCGAAATTATTTTGGAACTATCTGCAGGATTCACTAGAAATTATTCGCAGAATTATCATGGAATCATCCCCAGAAATCTTTTCTTTTGGAACTGTCTTCAGAATTCAATACTCTTAAGGTTCTTCTCGGAAGTCAAGTTTAAGTTGTCCGTCCATTCACCAAAACTTTGTAGTTTTTCTACCAGAAATGTTTAATAAAGCTTGCCCCTCCATCCACCAGAACTGTGCAATTTTTACATCAGGAATTTTAAATTCAGCTTGCCCCTCCATGCAGCAGATTGTTGCAAATCTTACACCAGCAATTTTCAATACAAACTTGTCCCCAGAAATTTTACACCAGAAAATTTCAATTGACTAGAACGATGCAAATGTTCCACCGTTAATGTTCAATAAAAATTGCTTTTCCAATCTTCTGATTGGTGCAGATTTCCTTTTTCCATTTTCCACCAGACATTTTCAATATAGCTTACTTCTCCTATCATCAGAATGTTGCAGATTTTCCATCAAATAAAGCTTGCCCCTAACAGATTTTTCATCATAAATTTTCAGTAAAGCAGCTTCGCTCCAATCCTACACCAGAAATAATTATTAAAGTTTCTCTATTCAGCAGAAGAATGCAAATTAAAGACCAAAAATTTCACCAAATTTAAGACCAAAAAATCAGCCCGTTCACCATAACGGGGCAGATTTTCCACCAGAAATTTTCAATATAGCTTAATTTTAAATAAAGCTTGTGCCTTCATTTACCAGACCAAGCAAGTTTTCTACCAGAAATTTTCTGTTAATTTCATTTATAAGAGCGACGCGAATTTTCAGTTAAATGTGCAACCCCAAATTTTCAGTGTGATTCAATTTTTCCACCAGAGTTATTCATTTCGATTAGTCCCTCCATGCACACCCTTGATGATATTTTTATATCATTTCAATGAAAGCTTTTTCATCGATTTACCACCACGAAGGTGAATTTTTTCAACCTTAAATTTACCCTCTTCCTTTGACCCTTTATGAACAACCTTGAAAAAAAAAATTACACCAGAATGTTTTTGTATGCACTACTGTGGGGTAATTTTTTGACCAAAAAATTTCATTGAAGTTTGCTCGTTCATGCACCTTTGTAGTGCAATTTTCAGGCACCATCTCAAAGAAATTGACGCAATAAAAGGTTTTCAGTGCCCTTATATTAAGAAATGAAGTTATTTTACCTTCAAATCAAGTTATCAAGAAATCAAGTTATTTTTTTTTTCATAATTTTGTTAATGTAAAAATAAAAACCTCATTTATAAAAGGGGGGGGGGCAATTGCCCCATTTTACCCCACTCCGTGCACGCCAGTGGGCTGGTGGCTCGCCCGCGCGTGCTGGCGTCCCTATCAGGTAGGGAAAAATTTCCCTTATCTGATGGTGATGTTGACATGCGTGGGCGAAATGCCGGTTGCGATGGAGTGGGGTCGGATGCATTGTTTGCAGGACCGGATGCGTCCCTTCGAGGGAGTAATCGAGATTTATTTCCATCGTTTCCCATTTGCCAGATGGAGAAGATCACTTGATTATCGAGTGTTTTGTGAAACTTAACATCGTCATCAACGCCACCGTCGGGGCCGGTTTTGAATGCTTGCAATAAAAACGCGATCGTAGCTTGTGTTATGAGAGGCTCGATGAACTTAGAGTGACCATTTTTGCTTACTGAGTAGAATATCATTAGTTTAATCTCAAGCCCCTCCACATTCAAGATTCGTTAAATCGCTTTATTTGTTAATGTGAATACATTGGAATAACAACAAATCGATCATTGGTGTACTGTAATAAAAGGCGCTCGTTTTCCTAATTGCAAACGTTTTTGCTTACAGAGCAGAATATCGTGGGCTCAATCCCAAGCTCCTTCGCATTATATGATCGTTAGGACATCAATTAAGCTTATCGTTTACCAAAACGAACCCTGCTGCAATCCCAACCCTCTTACCCAATATCCCAGTGATTCCTCGTGAAAGTGCAGAGGTGTTCTCGGCTTCCATCAAAGCGAGTGTCACGTCAACACATTCCTACCCATTTCTTTCTTGACCTGCGTTCGAGCACGGCCGGCGCTGGTATTGCCTAGTTTTAGATTACCAGTATTTACACATTGAGAATGATTGCTAGTCCCAATCATTGGTTCTCTGTGTAATTATAGCTGATCAGGAAATAACACAGTAGCAACCGTGGGCGGTCAATCATCATGCTCATGCTCATGCTATTAAGAATAAATCCAACTCACTAAAGCTCTATTATGTGAAAGAGCTTGAGATTGAACCCATAATTTTTTTTCTAAATACGCAAATCGGTTCCCACTAGACCACCAAGCTCCTTATATCAGCGATGACCTCACAGACGACGACAACAAGTGCTCTTGAGAAGGGTTTGGTATGGATTTCCGATCAGCTTCCACACCTGCGTAGGATATCGCACCAATTCAAACATGAGCCGGGACCAACGGCTTTACTTCCCTTCCAATGGAAGGCGTGACCAGAGATTTTTATGCCTCAGAAAAATCTCACCGACCTTGGCTGGGATTGAACCAAGACCCATTGGGGTGAGGAAGCAGTCACGCTAACCACCGATCAACACGTCGTAAACATAAAGTGGCAGCCATCAAGCACCCAAGCTCCTCAATAAATTTTTTGAGACGTTGGTAAAGATTGAATTCAATTTAAACAAATAACTGGAAAGGATCTCATCCGAATGAACTGTACTAAGCATGTCTTCTAATGTTTCATTAGATTAAAATTAATCGCTCTTCCAAGTTCACCGCTTAGCGGCGCTGGTGGTGTAGTGGTAAGCGTGATTACCTCTCACCCCAGCAGGCCTGAATTCAATCCCAATTCGGAGGCATAACATCGGAAGGGAAGAAAAGCCGTTGGTCCCCGGCTCATGAGTTGATGGGTCGATATGTAGGGTCCATATGTGGGAGCTGTCTCCCTGGCGTCGGTAGCATTGGTGCTTAGCACGGAAAACAAGATCAATGGAAAACAAATCAAAGAAAAAAAAAAGTTTAACGCTTAAAAATATAAATGCATGTTAAAAAAAAGCTAGCTTTATCTCTTCGTTATTTCTGTATTAAAAAAATGATCAAAGATTTCGAAAATTTAAGCGCAAAAACAACCTTCATGAACTCAAAACGCGATAAAAGATTTCAAACCCCCAACACCCCTCCCGAGCAAAGTCTGAGATCAAATTGAAACCTAAATTTGATGTTGTGATTTCACTGATAATGATTACTCAGGTTGCTGTCGTTTTGGTCGTTTTAACGGTTAAAATATCAAAATTGAGAGCAAACATATCTTCCTGTGACATCACATTGAAAACTATTTCTGCTATCATGAGCATGAGCATGATATTGATAGTCGATACCGTTGTTATCTCAAAATTGACGGAAATCCATCTCAAGTAACACAAATTCATAGAATTATGTTGAGTAAACTGCTATACACCCAAAATCAGTCATATTAAGGTTATATAAACTGTTATAGGACATGTGTGCTGCTTGAGGTATGGGACTTATATGCGATTATAGGCAGCACAGATCTTCAGCACTTTAAGATACAACGTGGATTGGAATGCCATGAAATGTAATTAGAAACCGATTCTAATACAAAAAGTAACCAGTAAAGTCGACGATGACAGGAGCACATATCGTGGTAGGGGTAACAATAGCTGCAATTTCCACACCTAAGACTGGATGCCTTCCTTCAAATAACAACTGGAGTGCGGTAAAAATCGGTAGACCTGTTTCGAACACATCGTCGGTACTTGAGCGGTCGGCGATCATCTCTTTTTGCCAGTGGTGGCGGGGGGGGGGGGGGGGAGGGACACACCCCTCACCATCTTTCTCCAAAGGGGGAGTATGGTAAAGAGAGATGATAAAACCGATTTGTATTTTCCCTTAAGTTGTCCTAGCTCGCTGTCTACTCTCTATATGCAATTTTCAAACTGCCGTACTCTAACCGGAACTATCAATTCTATAATTTCATCGCATGAGGACTTCTCATCTATCGTATAAAAATTACCACTTTAGTCTGTTATTTGAAATTAGCATCTTTAACTATATAAAACAAACACAATTTCAGGATTTTATTTCAAAAACCCGAATCGAATGCCACGTCAATGGTTGAGAGTCGTTAATGAATAAAAATAATAATATTAATAATCAATTTCAAAAACATTCGCACTGAAGAAAGTAACCATAAACCACTTTAAATTTTTAAAATGTAATCGCAGTTTATTTTCCCTAGGATTCCATATTTCAACATTTGATACGCAAAATACTATGAATACTTCCAGATAATTATTCACACTCTCTCGAATCACCATTCCAGCATCCTGCCGGTTCGTTCAGTGCCCGGACGGTAAACATTGCGTCGAAGATCAAAACTCCACGCCTCACTGTGTGACCTGTACGATGGACTGCCCACCGGTGGACACCCGGACATCGGCTTCAGCGACAAAGGCCGTCGTCTGCGGCACCGATGGAATCACCTATCGGAACATCTGCGAGCTCAAGCGGAAGGCCTGCCTCACCGGTCGGGCCATTCCAGTTGCCTACCGGGGACGTTGCATTGGTAAGTCTGAGCATTTTCTTTCGTTTTTTTTTTTTTTGGTCCATGCTCCTGCCGTAGGCTGGAAGCAATAATTGCCACGGCACGCAACAGCCGACGCAAGTGTCAAAACAAGATCTTAAATTACACATGGTTCTCCGTCCGTTGCTGCCCGCTCCGTTCGTCCGGTCACATCCCGGAGGGTCCGAGGAGTCAAGCGTCCAAGCGTACTAATGAATGGCTTTTCGACTTCCTTCTCTCTGTCCTCTCGTCACAAGTGGTGGTAGTCGCTCAAGCTACTGGTTTTATTTTGCTGTTTTATGACGAATCTTACACACAGTATAAACATAATCATAATAAATGGCCAGGTACTGGCGAGAACTGAATGACTGACTGGTTGCGAGGCTGGTCCGGCGATTATTGGGCCTGCAACATGGTTCGGGTTGCAAGATCATCCGATTTACAATGTGATACTTTCTATGGTGGAAAAAGTGCCCCAGGGGGCAGCTGATGGGCAGGTTATTAAAAAGTAATTTGGATCGAATTAGTGCGCGACCTAATTGCATACACGAGACCAGATAGTTGCAGGAGGAGTGGAGTGGAGGGAAGTATTTAAAAGAGGCTGGAGAGCGGATCTTGTCCGGTTTCCGTTGTGGGGCGGGGATGATTCGTGTCGTCGAATCTGTAGAGATTGTCTTGGTAGGTAAATATTCAAAATTACATTTGGAGAGCATTGCTCCGCTCTTTCCGAACGTGGCATCTACGTATTTCGGTGACCAAATGTTCTGTTTTTGGAAACATCCAGCACAACCTTGGATACAGGTCAAAGATAAATTTATAAAAGGTAAATTCATTGCTCTGTCCTTAAACTTGCCTTGGACGTCTTCTTGACTTGCATGCATTATCTATTTGGCTTGATACCGAAGTCCTTGGCTATTGTTTACTTATAATACAGGATTTTGAGTATTATTTCTGTTTTGATATGATCCTAGTTTAAAGTTTTTCATTATTTTAAGCATTTGTATTTAATTTTTTGCAGAATAACTATTCCATGCCTGCAAAATTCCACTACTCATACAAACATTCATAATAAGATCCTGTCCAACGAATTGCGTTATTGCAACACTGCTGTCTGTGCTAATTGATAGCCCAGAAAGAGGTTACCGCATACTTTCCAGCATGATCCGATCTGATACGGAAAATCAGCTGTATTCGACCCCATGAAGTAACGACTGCCACATGTGCCAATAACATAATCCATCTCCCAGGAAACCTAACACGTTCATGCGAAGTTGAAGTGTGCTCGCTGACTCCAAACAACTCACAAGATACATATAATTATTTCCCATTTTATCGCTGCATCGACCCGTCGTCATGCTCATTGGATCTGTTACACGGTTGGGCTTTGTTCCGTTCCCCAATCCTTTTGCTCTAAATTAATTTTTAATTAAGGCATTTTCACTTTTACCAGGGCTTTCTTCGTACTTATTTCGCGGTTTGGCCACTACAACTGGCTGTACCCGGTGAAGACTCAAGACAATAATCAAGATCGCAGAACCAGATCGTGTATATCATTCCTCGGAGGCACTCGTGCGAGGTGCAAGCATGATAAGCATCAATCAACCCTCCAGCCCACGTGGGCGCCTGCTCCCGGCGGTATCTACCTGAAATTTGACCGAACTCCTCCCGAAAAGCAGCAATGTGAGTGAGAGAGTGAGAGTGCGGAGGAAAACATGTTTGTGGAAAACTTCCGTCGGTCATGAAATGCATGTTCGACTGCAATCTGCACGACTTGGGAGAATCCGTCTGCTGCCAGACTTTGCTCGATTCAGCTTGGGAAGGCAGCCAGTCATCATCATATACATACCAGCCAGTATCATGCACTACCTACATAACACAGCAGAGAAGTCAGACATCACCTCGGGAGGAGCTGCAGGTCGGCAATGGAGTGTGTGTGCATGCACTTCTCTCTGCGTTCTTTACTCTGGTTTTTGATATGATATTCGACTTCAATTCAACGCTCTTCTTCGCCAACCTGTCTCCCATTCTACAGCAGAAAGCACAAAATGTTCTCCTAAACGTTCCAGTTCCAAGCTCGAGTGACGGACGGACGTGCGGAGCAGGAGATGCTCTTCGCTTTCATTCTTCGATCAGTCTGGCATAAACAAATTGCATAAGATAATAACAATAAAAATGCACCAGCACATGCATTTCTGATGGGCTCTCCGGATGGGAGGGGGCAACGCGCGGGGAAAACAGTCAAATCATTAATAAGTCTAGACGTTCTGCAGTTTTTATTTTATTTTATTATTGGCTGGTGGATTTCTCTGCGCGACTCTCTGGATGGCTCGATACAACGCGAACCGTCCATTTTCGGACGACCGCGGATTGGATCTCGCTTGGATCGAACATATTTTCGTGAATATTTGACAATCCAGGAGGATAGAGGTACTGACATCCAGCCAGAAGCGGAGACATACTCGGACGAACCGAAAAGATTGAGTGTGGAAGGTTCCCCGCGAGACGTTTAGCGTTTGGATAATTGATTAAAGGATGGTCCTTTGGCAGAGATATTATGAACTCGAGAATGGGACGTTGATTGGAGGGAATATAAAGGTGCATTGGGGAGCCTCCCTTAGCTCAGTCGGTAAGACTATGCTGGAGGTTGCTGGGTCCGTTTCCCGGTACGGTCTAGGAATGTTTCGGGTTGAATTTTTTTTTGACTTCCCTGGGCTATGGGAATGAAAAAAAAAAATAACACTGTGCTCAGTAAACGGAACTCTTTAAGATGATGACACGTTTTTCAAAATTTTAGAACCCAATTAAGATCATTTAAAAATCTAAATTGATTGATGAGCTTGGTGATGAGTTTTTTAGTGGAATAATTGTATACCTAATTACATTGTTTTTTCCTTTTAATTCTACTATTATTATATTACTGCTGAAAGCTTTATGGAAGCCCCCGGTTCCTCTAACTCAGTCGTGCTAATTCCTGTCAGCGTTCATCATAGTCGTCCTGGCCCTGACTTTAGATGTGGATTGGGGGTCTTCCAACTTGCTAGAACAGGCGAGTACATAATTATTAGCGCAAATACGATGTCTGATGCCGATCCAAATTTCAGCACCTTGAATGCCGCCGAATCAACTCTCGTACCTCGGAGCCCGGAACGCGCCGTAGAAAGCCTCGTGGAAGCCCCTGATCCCTCCGTCTCAGTCCAGCCATTTGCTGCCGCCGCTCACCATAGTCGTTCCGGACCTGTAGTCGGATGTGGAGAGGGGGTCTTCCAACCCAGTCACTATGGCGAGTATCCGCATGGTATTGTTAATGTTCATTCGCTGCCTGATGCTTCCGTGATTTCTAGGGAGAACAGACGTTCGATTGTAAGCCGCAAGCAGAACATCGTGATTTTCTTCCAAAACGCCGGCGGAATGAATTCTGATGTTGACGACTACCGGCTTGCTGTATCGGATCGTTGCTATGATGTGATTGTCCTATGCGAGACGTGGCTCGATTCGCGAACGCTTTCCAGCCAGGTGTTCGGATCCGATTATGAGGTTTTTCGTTGCGATCGGAATCCAAACAACAGCCGAAAATCTACTGGTGGTGGCGTTCTTGTGGCTGTCCGTTCCGGATTGGAGGCGAGAGCAATCGAAAATGAATCGTGGAACAGTGTGGAACAGGTTTGGACAGCCATTAAACTGGGCGATCGTACATTATTGTTGTGCGCATTGTACATGCCACCAGATCGAGTTCGTGATCTTGAACTCATCGAGACTCACTGTCAATCAGTCTTCACAGTAATGGAAAGAGCGACTCCAATTGATGAGCTATTCATTTTTGGGGACTTTAACCTAGCAGGCGTTTCGTGGAGACCATCCCATAGCGGCTTCCTCTATCCAGATCCAGAACGTTCTGTATTTCATGCAGGAGCTATCGGCCTTCTCGATAACTATAGCGTAGCAACGCTTTCTCAAATTAACTACGTAGTCAACGAGAACAACCGTAGTTTGGACCTCTGCTGGAAATGTGCACACATGTTTCCTGTCCACCAAAAGGGAAGCAAACGAGCCGTGGATAACTATCGTGGAATTACATCGCTGAGTGCTGTTTCGAAACTATTCGAGCTTGTTATTATGGAACCGTTGCTCTCTCACAGCAAGCAGTATCTGAGTGCTGATCAACACGGGTTTACTGGCGGTCGCTCTACAACCACCAATCTGCTATGCCTCACATCCTACATTACCGATAGTGTGACTGAACGGGTACAGACGAACGTTATATATACCGATCTATCCGCGGCATTCGATAAGTTGAATCATGACATTGCGATTGCTAAACTCGACAGACTTGGGGTGAGTGGTAATCTCTTGAGTTGGTTCCGTTCGTATCTTACTGGTCGCCAACTTATGGTTGCTATAGGAGATTGCAAATCAGCTAGCTTCTTTGCCACATCAGGTATACCGCAGGGAAGCCATCTGGGACCGTTGATTTTTCTACTCTACTTCAACGACGTGAACCTGGTTATTGAAGGACCTCGATTAGCATATGCAGACGACCTCAAAATATTTTTACGAATTTGCTCGATCGCTGACTGCCACAATCTTCAACATCAGCTTAATGTCTTCGCCAGTTGGTGTACTTTAAATCGAATGGTAGTGAACCCAGCAAAGTGCTCTACCATAACGTTCTCACGAAAAAAGCAACCGATTGTATTCAGCTATGACCTGCTTGCAACGACACTCGAACGCGTGAATCAGGTGAAAGACCTGGGTGTGGTGTTGGATTCACAGCTAACATTCAGGCAACACATTTCTTATGTCATCAATAAGTCGTCTAGGACTTTAGGATTCATCTTCAGGATAGCTAAGAATTTCACCGATGTCTACTGCTTAAAATCTCTTTACTGCTCCCTCGTACGATCGATGCTTGAGTATTGTTCTGCGGTTTGGAATCCGAATTACAACAATGGTGCCGAGAGAATCGAATCTGTTCAACGTCGCTTTCTTCGTTTTGCGCTTCGTAG